CCCCCCCCCCCCCCCCGGTGTGTGTGTGTGTGTGTAGAGGGAGGAAGAGGAACTTACATCAACGGAGCCTTTCTTGGCAACATTGGTCCAGTCCTTAGCAGCCACACCAGACTTCCAATCAAAATCAATAGTAATGGTCATCTGAGGATTGTGATCAGCTGCCCAAAAGCAAGCCATGTAATTTCCAGTTTCCACAGCCTGAAACGCAAACTGACCCGACTCCACATGGTTCGAAGAGTGGTGACTATTCCCATACGCCGATGTCACCTACGTAAACAAAAAATTCACCAAAACAAAAATAAACCCAACAAAACCCTCTGCTTGATTACTGAGAAAACGAGAGAAAATCGAACAATTCTTACACTGACGGTGATTTTGTGAGAGTCGGGCAGAGGATGACCTTCGTTGGGGTTGACGATGGAGTACTTGCCGATGGTCATGGAATTGGATTTGATGTCTTCGGTTATGCATTTCATGCGACCCGATTGGATATCGAATCTGAGTGATTGGGCTACGATTGAGAAAAACCCAATGATTACAAAAACAGAGAGGGTGTACCTTTGGATTACCATGGTGAATAATACCGATTAACGAAGTGAATTAAGACTTAAGAGTTTATTAGCTAAATCTTTAGCTTAATAACCAGAGGGTACATAGAGCGAGAGAGAGGCTTCTTCGGAGAAGACTTGACGACCTTCGTTCAGAAGAAGGAGAAAGACGAAAGAGAACCAGAGACAGAGTCAATCTATGAGCGTTTCGCTATGATCTGACTGCGGACCCCTTCTGCACCGAGCCCACCTATGGCGTCCGCGATTAGTTGTGTTTTTCCTCTTCATTTTNGCTATGATCTGACTGCGGACCCCTTCTGCACCGAGCCACCTATGGCGTCCGCGTTTAGTTGTGTTTTTCCTCTTCAATTTTTTTTTTGGAGAATTATATTCTTACCCCTTAAAATTTGTCACATAATTACTTAAATTCCTTAATATTTAAATATTTTACATAAATTCCTAAAATTTATGCATACATAACATTTAGACCCTTATCATTGTATATTTGTTAATAAATTATATACAGACCCTCTAAAATTTGTAAAGATATAATACTTAGACTTCTGAAGTTTAAAATAATATACTTAGACCAAAAATACTCTAATCAAAGATAAAATATCAAATATTTTAAATTTTATAACTAAAATTTATATTTTATTGTATCATTTATTAAAATAAAATTAAAAATTATTTTTTTCTTAAAAAAATCGTAATTAGTATACAATTATAATATTTATTATAATAAAATTAAAAAATCAAACAAGGGGTCTAAATCATTCATAATAGAATATGAATTTTACAACCAAAATTCATGTTCAATTATGTCATTTATTGAAATAAAATAAAAAATAAAATTTTAATTTTATTAAAAAAATCATAATTAATATATAGTTATACTGTCTATTAGAATAAAACTAAAAAAATAAAAATAAAAAGGTTAAATTTAATGGACACAATATATTCTAGTTGTAATTGGGGTAATTGGTAGTTTAATTTGATTGTTTAAATGATCAAATTAAATTACAATAGATAATATAATTGTATACTAATTATACTTTTTTAAGAAAAAAATAGATTTTTATTTTTAATTTTATCTCAATAAATGTTATAATATAACATAAATTTTAGTTGTAAAATTTAAAATATTTGATATTCTATCTTTGATTAGAGTATTTTTTTATCTAAATATAATATTTTAAATTTAAGAGATTTAAATATTATACGTTTACAAATTTTAGGGGATCTGAGTATAATTTATAACATACATTGACGACAGTTTGCTACGATATAAGTGTTATACATATACAAACTTTAAGATATTTGTGTGCAATATTTTAAATATTAGGGAATCTAAGTGATTAAGTGACAAACTTCATGGAGTTTGGGTGTAATTCTTTCTTTTTTATTCCATGAATAAATTATATTATTGACCCCTAAACTATGTCACTGATTTCAATTCAGTACTAAAACTAAATTCTGTTTCAATTACACCCTCCAACTTCTTAACTTGATTTTTTATCTTCCCCTCTTTGGGATTCTGTTGTGCCCCCTTATCTGAATTTTGATCTTCCCCTCTTCGCCCTTGGAAGTTCAATGACCGCACTTTGTTAATGGCAACTAGACACCTGACAACTAATGACTAACAGGTCGCCCACGTCCTCTCAATTACTTCACAACCTCCGTTTTTCTTTTGTCATGGAAAGGTGGCATGAAGAGAATGAAGGTTTCTCGTGCACGTCTCTATTTTGGGGGCTGTTACAAGCACGTTTTACCTCTCCCCCTTTTTGAATTTCCATTAATTGCTCATACCTCTTCGGTAACCATTCCCAAATTGAATAGCATAAATATGGCAAAGCTTAGAAGGTTAGTGACTCTTCAAATGATTACTTCTCTTAGGTCGCTTGATTCCCCAAATAGTTCTGTCGCTAAGACTAGGCTGAACATCAAGTTCTTGTAAGTATACTCAATTTCTAACCATCTTCGTCTTTCTCTCTGTAATGTCTGATGGTTATAAGCAGTAGAATGAATGCTCTAAGGGCAAGCTTAGGAAAACTCAGGTAACCGAAGCCCATTTAGATGGCTTTAAGTCCACCTAAGAAATCTTCCAAATCCCTAGTTTCATAGGAAAAATATAGGATACCCGGTCTCTTGCCCTTCCATACCAAAGTGAATTGTAAGAAAGAACTCATTAACCATTCTCTAATCCTAAGTCATGTTATTCAACATAACACGACTATGAATAAGTTTGTCTTGAATAATGTAGGATCGGGATCGGCTGATTACAAGAAGATGTATATCATGATCTCTTTTGACATTTTGGCATTTAAAAAAGGACCAATATTTTCATTCTATTATTAACCACCCATTTGCTTCTGAATTTCTGATGTACTTGTGAAAGCTTTTCGTGAAAGGGAAGCTTTACTCATGAAAAAGAGAATTCTTGGGGTGGTCAGGATGAGCTATCCTGGTATGGATTACACATTTTTTTTTTTAACACAGCTTTCTTTTTGGCTTGTGTGGAAGTGGAATACACTTGACAAAACTAGTTGGATGGGCTTTTACTTGTTCAAGTTGAAAAAGAAGCAAAAGTTAACTTACTAGGGGTAGTTTAAATGGAAGATTTTTAAGGGTGAAAATGATTGATTTTTAAGGTGAATTCTTACAAAATACATTGATTTATATGATGTGATTGATTTATATGTGATGAGTTTAAGTTATAATCACGAGATCCTCGCCGAATAGCGTTTGCTCGGAATAATTATTTATTAGGGATAATTCGTGCCTGAAGTTACGGTACAATGAGAATAATTTTGATATGAGTGTTAGTGGTTATTGGATGGTCTATTTGAGACTATCAAATAGATTTATTGAACTCTGTCCTATTTTATATTATAAATTATTTTTAAAAAAGTACAAAATAATTATTTTTCTTGTGTCCAACAATTATATCCCAACTTGCTTTTTTGGTATAGTTTCGTAACTATTGTCAAGACTAATGGAGTTATAATTAAATTTGGTGGTCTATATAATAAAACATTCAACAACTTAACCACCAGAAACTATTATTTAATATTAAAATAAATTATACTTATCTCAGTTTCTACTTGAAGAAAGTAATAACGGTTTGAATTTTTTACTTCCACTTGAACAATAATAATAAAAAAACTACCCGAATCATCCTTAATCCTTTTTTCTTGGACGGAATCATCCTTAAAACAATAATAAAAAACCACCTGAATCATCCTTAATCCTATTTTTTTGGTCGGAATCATCTTTAATCCTATTTTTTTTGGTCGGAATCATCCTTAACCTGCAAAGGTAGTATAAACAAACACAACTTGTATGTTTAAGTAGGTAATTTTCACACCGACATACTCTCATACATACTTGTATTGTATGCTTGAATAATTTATAGAAACAGTAAAATGAAAGTACTTTTTGATGGGTAATTTCTTCGTGTTGCTGAGGAAATGGTAACATGTAATTTTATCAAAAAAAAAAAAAAAAATAGCATTATATACAAACAGCTCAAATCCTAGAAACAATCGCTATAACTGCAGTATTTTCCAGTTTTGGGTTGTGGTGGTGATGTGTCTCTCTCTCCGCAGCCATCGGAGATTACTCCTCAGGTACCCCTACATGTCCTATTGCCCTTTTCCCACCAATCAAACAAACCCACTTCCCCATTGATCTCATCTCATTCTTTAGTTCACATTCCATTTTTGTATCGAAAAAGTCGAAAAATAGAAACTTTCCGGCGAAAATAAGCAGAAAAATAAAGTACACTACCAATTGACTCCTCCTGTCTTGTGTTGGGCTGGTGAGAATTTATTTAATTTCTTCAGATTTTACTCGTGAATTTCCACCTCTCTTTTCACTCTCTCTCTCTCTCTCTCAAGGGTTTGCATTCATTGATCTTTTTCAAATACCTAATTTGGGTATTCAATCTTAGCTTTCAAAGAGATTCCACGAGATACCCATTTGGGTATTCTATGCTATTTATGGTTGATCTGGGGTTTACATGTTTCAGTTGGTGTGGATTTTGAATTTTTGGGTGGATTGGAAAATTGGGTTTGTTTGGGAATGAAGAGGCGATGAGGAGTGTAGAACAGAGATGGAGGATAGATCTGAGAATGTACAGTTGAGGTGTGATAAACTTCCAGGTCAGGTGATTCCGAAGACTCGATTACAGGTGTGGTTTATTAGGGTTTGTTCCAGCATTTTGATATGGACCTGTGTGGTTCAGCTCCTCACGGTGGGCGAGCTCTGGCATCCACAGATATTAACTGGGTTATCTAATCGGTTCACTGGGTTTGCGAGATTAACTGTCCATGTTGAAGAGGCCATTGCATCGCCTCCGCCTTTTCTTCCTGCAAGTGAGTAAATTTTAGCTTGAATTAAATGGCCAATTGCTTGAAACATTCATTACTGTTATGTAATTTTGCAATTTTGGTATAATTGAAGTGTAATGCACATGAAAATCTGCCTTTCTGGATTTTATTTTGTTATGTGGTTTGCTTGAAGAATTTTGAATTTGAATGAAGTCATTGGTTCTAGTAATGCTATTTGATATTTGGTGGAGATTGACCTAGTAATAAGGTTGGCAAATTTATTATGTATAATGTTATCAAAACTTCCTAAATGCAGTTTCACTTAATGCAGCTTTGTGTATGCACTCTGATAATTTGAAAGTTTTATACTTTGGTTATTAGCTTCTCTATTTAGGTGCATGAAACTTATAGGTATATCGCCACCTAATTAATCTTGTATGGGTTCTACCTTATTTTATGATTGATTTAATTAGTTTCTGTATTAATCACTGCTACATTTATGTGAAAGAGGGATGCTATTTTTTTTTCCATAACAGTGTAATTAGCACGGAACAAGTTTCTTATTTGTGGTATATAATGTTGATGGAAAGTGCATGAGAAACAAAGAAGAGCGTTGTATTTTTGCAATATATCTTAGTCAATAAGGGATATGTGCCTGATTACATATACCATTCTTACCATCCAAACATTTTAACTTTATTGGGCTGGGCAAACTTTTTTTAAAGATGGTGATGCTTGCTTGAAATGCGGACATCGGACATACAATGGCAGATTCATAATTTAGATTCCTTCTCAAAATCATGATGAGTTGCTAAAATATCTAGGTGTTATTGGAAAGCAATAATCAGTCAACAGCATTGGCCACATTTCTCATTTGACAACTACTGCACGGAAACAAAAACAGATGTTCAAAATCTGTATCAGAAAAGCTACCAGATTTCAGCAAATTGCTACTGCAACATATTTGATGTATGTAGTTGGTTGTGTAACTTACTTGATGGATGCAACAGTGTACACGGTATATCATCTGCATATGATCTTCCGGGGATTTTAGTCTTTGCCATGTTTATTTTGTTTGGCTTCCAAGGAAATATTCTGTGTTGAATATGTAGCTGAGTTGACCACATAAGTGGCTGTGGATGGTTGGAACCAGCACAGCTGGCCTGGGTGATGGCTCGGGAATGAGATGTTTTCTGTCAGAATGTAGTAAATCACTCATAAATCATCGGCATTTCACATTTGGTGACCTAGAATGACTGCTATNTTTTTTTGGAGAATTATATTCTTACCCCTTAAAATTTGTCACATAATTACTTAAATCCCTTAATATTTAAATATTTTACATAAATTCCTAAAATTTATGCATACATAACATTTAGACCGTTATCGTTGTATATTTGTTAATAAATTATATACAGACCCTCTAAAATTTGTAAAGATATAATACTTAGATTCTNACCCTTATCATTGTATATTTGTTAATAAATTATATACAGACCCTCTAAAATTTGTAAAGATATAATACTTAGACTTCTGAAGTTTAAAATAATATACTTAGACCAAAAATACTCTAATCAAAGATAAAATATCAAATATTTTAAATTTTATAACTAAAATTTATATTTTATTGTATCATTTATTAAAATAAAATTAAAAATTATTTTTTTCTTAAAAAATCGTAATTAGTATACAATTATAATATTTATTATAATAAAATTAAAAAATCAAACAAGAGGTCTAAATCATTCATAATAGAACATGAATTTTACAACCAAAATTCATGTTCAATTATGTCATTTATTGAAATAAAATAAAAAATGAAATTTTAATTTTATTAAAAAAATCATAATTAATATATAATTATACTGTCTATTAGAATAAAACTAAAAAAATAAAAATAAAAATGTTAAATTGTAATGGACACAATATATTCTAGTTGTAATTGGGGTAATTGGTAGTTTAATTTGATTGTTTAAATGATCAAATTAAATTACAATAGATAATATAATTGTATACTAATTATACTTTTTTAAGAAAAAAATAGATTTTTATTTTTAATTTTATCTCAATAAATGTTATAATATAACATAAATTTTAGTTGTAAAATTTAAAATATTTGATATTCTATTTTTGATTAGAGTATTTTTTTATCTAAATATAACATTTTAAACTTGAGAGATTTAAATATTATACGTTTACAAATTTTAGGGGATCTGAGTATAATTTATAACAGACATTGACGGCAGTCTGCTACGATATAAGTGTTATACATATACAAACTTTAAGAGATTTGTGTGCAATATTTTAAATATTAGGGAATCTGAGTGATTAAGTGACAAACTTCATGGAGTTTGGGTGTAATTCTTTCTTTTTTATTCCATTAATAAATTATATTATTGACCCCTAAACTATGTCATTGATTTCAATTCAGTACTAAAACTAAATTCTGTTTCAATTACACCCTTCAACTTCTTAACTTGATTTTTTATCTTCCCCTCTTTGGGATTCTGTTGTGCCCCCTTATCTGAATTTTGATCTTCCCCTCTTCGCCCTTGGAAGTTCAATGACCGCACTTTGTTAATGGCAACTAGACACCTGACAACTAATGACTAACAGGTCGCCCACGTCCTCTCAATTACTTCACAACCTCCGTTTTTCTTTTGTCATGGAAAGGTGGCATGAAGAGAATGAAGGTTTCTCGTGCACGTCTCTATTTTGGGGGCTGTTACAAGCACGTTTTACCTCTCCCCCCTTTTTGAATTTCCATTAATTGCTCATACCTCTTTGGTAACCATTCCCAAATTGAATAGCATAAATATGGGAAAGCTTAGAAGGTTAGGGACTCTTCAAATGATTACTTCTCTTAGGTCGCTTGATTTNAAAAAATAGATTTTTATTTTTAATTTTATCTCAATAAATGTTATAATATAACATAAATTTTAGTTGTAAAATTTAAAATATTTGATATTCTATTTTTGATTAGAGTATTTTTTTATCTAAATATAACATTTTAAACTTGAGAGATTTAAATATTATACGTTTACAAATTTTAGGGGATCTGAGTATAATTTATAACAGACATTGACGGCAGTCTGCTACGATATAAGTGTTATACATATACAAACTTTAAGAGATTTGTGTGCAATATTTTAAATATTAGGGAATCTGAGTGATTAAGTGACAAACTTCATGGAGTTTGGGTGTAATTCTTTCTTTTTTATTCCATGAATAAATTATATTATTGACCCCTAAACTATGTCATTGATTTCAATTCAGTACTAAAACTAAATTCTGTTTCAATTACACCCTCCAACTTCTTAACTTGATTTTTTATCTTCCCCTCTTTGGGATTCTGTTGTGCCCCCTTATCTGAATTTTGATCTTCCCCTCTTCGCCCTTGGAAGTTCAATGACCGCACTTTGTTAATGGCAACTAGACACCTGACAACTAATGACTAACAGGTCGCCCACGTCCTCTCAATTACTTCACAACCTCCGTTTTTCTTTTGTCATGGAAAGGTGGCATGAAGAGAATGAAGGTTTCTCGTGCACGTCTCTATTTTGGGGGCTGTTACAAGCACGTTTTACCTCTCCCCCTTTTTGAATTTCCATTAATTGCTCATACCTCTTCGGTAACCATTCCCAAATTGAATAGCATAAATATGGCAAAGCTTAGAAGGTTAGTGACTCTTCAAATGATTACTTCTCTTAGGTCGCTTGATTCCCCAAATAGTTCTGTCGCTAAGACTAGGCTGAACATCAAGTTCTTGTAAGTATACTCAATTTCTAACCATCTTCGTCTTTCTCTCTGTAATGTCTGATGGTTATAAGCAATAGAATGAATGCTCTAAGGGCAAGCTTAGGAAAACTCAGGTGACCGAAGCCCATTTAGATGGCTTTAAGTCCACCTAAGAAATCTTCCAAATCCCTAGTTTCATAGGAAAAATATAGGATACCCGGTCTCTTGCCCTTCCATACCAAAGTGAATTGTAAGAAAGAACTCATTAACCATTCTCTAATCCTAAGTCATGTTATTCAACATAACACGACTATGAATAAGTTTGTCTTGAATAATGTAGGATCGGGATCGTCTGATTACAAGAAGATGTAGATCATGATCTCTTTTGACATTTTGGCATTTAAAAAAGGACCAATATTTTCATTCTATTACTAACCACCCATTTGCTTCTGAATTTCTGATGTACTTGTGAAAGCTTTTCGTGAAAGGGAAGCTTTACTCATGAAAAAGAGAATTCTTGGGGTGGTCAGGATGAGCTATCCTGGTATGGATTACACATTTTTTTTTTTTAACACAGCTTTCTTTTTGGCTTTTGTGGAAGTGGAATACACTTGACAAAACTAGTTGGATGGGCTTTTACTTGTTCAAGTTGAAAAAGAAGCAAAAGTTAACTTACTGGGGTAGTTTACATGGAAGATTTTTAAGGGTGAAAATGATTGATTTTTAAGGTGGGTTCTTACAAAATACATTGATTCACATGATGTGATTGATTTATATGTGATGAGTTTAAATTATAATCACGAGATCTTCGCCGAATAACGTTTGCTCGGAATAATTATTTATTAGGGATAATTCGTGCCTGAAATTACGGTACAATGAGAATAATTTTGAGATGAGTGTTAGTGGTTATTGGATGGTCTATTTGAGACTATCAAATAGATTTATTGAACTCTGTCATATTTTATATTATAAATTATTTTTAAAAAAGTACAAAATAATTATTTTTCTTGTGTCCAACAATTATATCCCAACTTGCTTTTTCGGTATAGTTTCGTAACAATTGTCAAGACTAACGGAGTTATAATTAAATTTGGTGGTCTATATAATAAAACATTCAACAACTTATCCACCAGAAACTATTATTTAATATTAAAATAAATTATACTTTTCTCAGTTTCTACTCGAAGAAAGTAATAACGGTTTGAATTTTTTACTTCCACTTGAACAATAATAATAAAAAAACTACCCGAATCATCCTTAATCCTTTTTTCTTGGACGGAATCATCCTTAAAACAATAATAAAAAACCACCTGAATCATCCTTAATCCTATTTTTTTTGGTCGGAATCATCTTTAATCCTATTTTTTTTGGTCGGAATCATCCTTAACCTGCAAAGGTAGTATAAACAAACACAACTTGTATGTTTAAGTAGGTAATTTTCACACCGACATACTCTCATACATACTTGTATTGTATGCTTGAATAATTTATAGAAACAGTAAAATGAAAGTACTTTTTGATGGGTAATTTCTTCGTGTTGCTGAGGAAATGGTAACATGTAATTTTATCAAAAAAAAAAAAAAAAATAGCATTATATACAAACAGCTCAAATCCTAGAAACAATCGCTATAACTGCAGTATTTTCCAGTTTTGGGTTGTGGTGGTGATGTGTCTCTCTCTCCGCAGCCATCGGAGATTACTCCTCAGGTACCCCTACATGTCCTATTGCCCTTTTCCCACCAATCAAACAAACCTACTTCCCCATTGATCTCATCTCATTCTTTAGTTCACATTCCATTTTTGTATCGAAAAAGTCGAAAAATAGAAACTATCCGGCGAAAATAAGCAGAAAAATAAAGTACACTACCAATTGACTCCTCCTGTCTTGTGTTGGGCTGGTGAGAATTTATTTAATTTCTTCAGATTTTACTCGTGAATTTCCACCTCTCTTTTCACTCTCTCTCTCTCTCTCAAGGGTTTGCATTCATTGATCTTTTTCAAATACCTAATTTGGGTATTCAATCTTAGCTTTCAAAGAGATTCCACGAGATACCCATTTGGGTATTCTATGCTATTTATGGTTGATCTGGGGTTTACATGTTTCAGTTGGTGTGGATTTTGAATTTTTGGGTGGATTGGAAAATTGGGTTTGTTTGGGAATGAAGAGGCGATGAGGAGTGTAGAACAGAGATGGAGGATAGATCTGAGAATGTACAGTTGAGGTGTGATAAACTTCCAGGTCAGGTGATTCCGAAGACTCGATTACAGGTGTGGTTTATTAGGGTTTGTTCCAGCATTTTGATATGGACCTGTGTGGTTCAGCTCCTCACGGTGGGCGAGCTCTGGCATCCACAGATATTAACTGGGTTATCTAATCGGTTCACTGGGTTTGCGAGATTAACTGTCCATGTTGAAGAGGCCATTGCATTGCCTCCGCCTTTTCTTCCTGCAAGTGAGTAAATTTTAGCTTGAATTAAATGGCCAATTGCTTGAAACATTCATTACTGTTATGTATTTTTGCAATTTTGGTATAATTGAAGTGTAATGCACACGAAAATCTGCCTTTCTGGATTTTATTTTGTTATGTGGTTTGCTTGAAGAATTTTGAATTTGAATGAAGTCATTGGTTCTAGTAATGCTATTTGATATTTGGTGGAGATTGACCTAGTAATAAGGTTGGCAAATTTATTATGTATAATGTTATCAAAACTTCCTAAATGCAGTTTCACTTAATGCAGCTTTGTGTATGCACTCTGATAATTTGAAAGTTTTATACTTTGGTTATTAGCTTCTCTATTTAGGTGCATGAAACTTATAGGTATATCGCCACCTAATTAATCTTGTATGGGTTCTACCTTATTTTATGATTGATTTAATTAGTTTCTGTATTAATCACTGCTACATTTATGTGAAAGAGGGATGCTATTTTTTTTTCCATAACAGTGTAATTAGCACGGAACAAGTTTCTTATTTGTGGTATATAATGTTGATGGAAAGTGCATGAGAAACAAAGAAGAGCGTTGTATTTTTGCAATATATCTTAGTCAATAAGGGATATGTGCCTGATTACATATACCATTCTTACCATCCAAACATTTTAACTTTATTGGGCTGGGCAAACTTTTTTTAAAGATGGTGATGCTTGCTTGAAATGCGGACATCGGACATACAATGGCAGATTCATAATTTAGATTCCTTCTCAAAATCATGATGAGTTGCTAAAATATCTAGGTGTTATTGGAAAGCAATAATCAGTCAACAGCATTGGCCACATTTCTCATTTGACAACTACTGCACGGAAACAAAAACAGATGTTCAAAATCTGTATCAGAAAAGCTACCAGATTTCAGCAAATTGCTACTGCAACATATTTGATGTATGTAGTTGGTTGTGTAACTTACTTGATGGATGCAACAGTGTACACGGTATATCATCTGCATATGATCTTCCGGGGATTTTAGTCTTTGCCATGTTTATTTTGTTTGGCTTCCAAGGAAATATTCTGTGTTGAATATGTAGCTGAGTTGACCACATAAGTGGCTGTGGATGGTTGGAACCAGCACAGCTGGCCTGGGTGATGGCTCGGGAATGAGATGTTTTCTGTCAGAATGTAGTAAATCACTCATAAATCATCGGCATTTCACATTTGGTGACCTAGAATGACTGCTATTACCTTGGCATACCAAAAAAGTAGATGAATAAGTTAATAAAATGAAATAGTTTATATAGGTCAACTATTCATTCACAGCCCCGTGTTCACCTCTTTGAGGTTGGGGACACTAGTTTAACCCACACATATGAAGTCATGTTCTTAGATATTCATAAATACTTGTATCTGTATATGCAATTATATTCCTTTTGGTTTAAACTATTTTAGATGCTGTGAACTACTTTATTTGAAGTAAGAGTTTACCTGATGGAAGTCCTTGATATTTGTTGTGAAAAGTCTGCAAGCTCTTTTTCAGAGTACATTTAGACCTTACCCATTTTCTTCTGCAGGGAATTACACAAGTAATGGTTTCCTTAAAGTGGCTTGCAATGGGGGCTTGAATCAGATGCGTGCTGCGGTTTGTATTTGTTGTTTTTGCTCTCTTTTGTGAGGTTTTCTTATATTTACATTGACATAGCCTGTTTGGCATTTCAGATTTGTGACATGGTCATAGTTGCTCGGCTTTTAAATCTTACTTTGGTTGTTCCAGAGCTGGATAAGAGATCCTTCTGGGCTGATCCTAGGTATAATTTTTGTTAAGTAGTGACTGTCCCTCGGCCTTTATTTTCTTCTTCAAACCAACTTGTGCTAATCCATGTGCAGCAACTTTGAGGACATTTTTGATGTGAGACACTTCATTGATTCACTAAGAGATGAAGTTCGAATTGTCAAAAGGTTGCCAAAGAGGTTTACCAGCAGATATGGATATCAATCTCTAGAAATGCCTCCAGTTAGTTGGTCAAATGACAAATACTACTTGCAACAGGTCTGTATGCTTCCTATTTATTTATGAAAGGGTATCTTCATCATGTAAATTTATGGCTTACGAATGACCATTGACTTAAAAGGCAATTCACAATTCTCTATGCTTGTGCAGATATTAATTGACTGATAGAAAATAAATGCTCTTACAAAGTTTTAGATGTCAATCATAAGAAAGTAAAATCAGAATAAAGTTAATAATATGTAAAACATTTTGCAATTAATGATCAAGTTCTCATCTCTCTCTCTTCCCCCACACATTCTCCATTTTCTATTATTAAAACTGCTGAAGGTTCGGATCTGATATCTTTGACTCCAATATGCAGATCCAGCCGCTTTTCAGTAAGTATAAGGTGATACACTTCAACAGAACTGATGCACGTCTGGCAAATAATGGAATTCCTCTGGATCTTCAAAAACTCAGATGCCGTGTTAATTATTTGGCGCTCAAATTCACACCCCAGATTGAGGCTCTGGGATACAAATTGGTTCATGCCCTTCAAGGGAGGGGACCATTCGTAGCGTTGCATCTAAGATATGAGATGGACATGTTGGCTTTCTCAGGTTGTACCCATGGTTGCAGTGAGGAAGAGGCTGAGGAGCTCAAACGGTTGAGGTAATTACATTTTCAATTTTATGCCGCCCCCCGTCCTTTTTCTCTTCATATTTTTTTCTCTGTTTGAATATGTGTATTGCAAGTTGTTTTCTCATTTAGCAGTCGATATCATGTTTACATATATTTTTGTTTTGTTCGNCTCTCTCTCTCTCTCTCAAGGGTTTGCATTCATTGATCTTTTTCAAATACCTAATTTGGGTATTCAATCTTAGCTTTCAAAGAGATTCCACGAGATACCCATTTGGGTATTCTATGCTATTTATGGTTGATCTGGGGTTTACATGTTTCAGTTGGTGTGGATTTTGAATTTTTGGGTGGATTGGAAAATTGGGTTTGTTTGGGAATGAAGAGGCGATGAGGAGTGTAGAACAGAGATGGAGGATAGATCTGAGAATGTACAGTTGAGGTGTGATAAACTTCCAGGTCAGGTGATTCCGAAGACTCGATTACAGGTGTGGTTTATTAGGGTTTGTTCCAGCATTTTGATATGGACCTGTGTGGTTCAGCTCCTCACGGTGGGCGAGCTCTGGCATCCACAGATATTAACTGGGTTATCTAATCGGTTCACTGGGTTTGCGAGATTAACTGTCCATGTTGAAGAGGCCATTGCATCGCCTCCGCCTTTTCTTCCTGCAAGTGAGTAAATTTTAGCTTGAATTAAATGGCCAATTGCTTGAAACATTCATTACTGTTATGTATTTTTGCAATTTTGGTATAATTGAAGTGTAATGCACACGAAAATCTGCCTTTCTGGATTTTATTTTGTTATGTGGTTTGCTTGAAGAATTTAGAACNAACATTCATTACTGTTATGTATTTTTGCAATTTTGGTATAATTGAAGTGTAATGCACACGAAAATCTGCCTTTCTGGATTTTATTTTGTTATGTGGTTTGCTTGAAGAATTTTGAATTTGAATGAAGTCATTGGTTCTAGTAATGCTATTTGATATTTGGTGGAGATTGACCTAGTAATAAGGTTGGCAAATTTATTATGTATAATGTTATCAAAACTTCCTAAATGCAGTTTCACTTAATGCAGCTTTGTGTATGCACTCTGATAATTTGAAAGTTTTATACTTTGGTTATTAGCTTCTCTATTTAGGTGCATGAAACTTATAGGTATATCGCCACCTAATTAATCTTGTATGGGTTCTACCTTATTTTATGATTGATTTAATTANACCCGACGTGAACCGATGATGAACAGTATTGATGTCATTAGTCTCCAATTGTGAATACGACCAACAGGATCAAATTTTCATGGGTTTCGGTGGCTGTTCTCCTCCCCTACAGTGCACCAAAAGTTTGTCTTCTGGGTTTCAGTGAGTGCTCTCCTCCCCACAGTGCATCGACTATCTCCTCCAAGCACCGATTGCCTTACAGTGCATCAACTGCCCCCCTTTGGTCTATTTTGTGATTGTTGTGTGTCGGCTGGGTGTTTTGTGCTGTTAATGTGCATCGGTGAACTATTCTTTGCCTTCACAGCGCATCGATTGGTTTGTGATTGATACTCTCTGGTTGTTTATTGATTTAATTTGCTGGATTGTGGCCGGGTTGTTGGATTGTTGCTATTATTGCTGTTTTCTTGTTGTGGCTTTGGCTGGCTTTGGCATTCTGGACTGTTTCTTGTTATGGCTACGACAGTTTGATAATTTGGCTTATTTGGTTTATTATTGCTGGGTTTTTTGCTTATTTGGTGGTATTGTTTCTTTAGGCTGCTGAGTTTGAATTTGCCTGTGGTGCGTATTGATAGTTGTTACTATAATGGCAAGTGATCACTCTGATTCACTTCAAGCCATTAATGTGAGACTAATTGGTGGAAATTATGTTATGAAAAAAATTTTGTTGGGAAAAGACATGTGGAATTACATTAGTGGTGTTGTACAGCCTCCAACTGATACTAAGACAGAAAATTATGCTGATTTGAAGAGTACTTGGGATATCAATAGTGCGAAAATTATCACTTGGATTAATAACTCAATTGATTAGACCATTGGGGTTCATCTATCTAAGTTTACCACTGCTAAGGAGATTTAGGATTATTTGGCCACACTTTTTGTTTAGTCTAATTTTGCAAAGAGGTATCAGTTAGAGCATGAGATTTGAGATGCGCGACAAGGAGACAAAACCATCCAAGAATTCTAATTTGTTATGACTGGCTTCTGGGATCAGTTAGCACTTACTGAACCTACCGAGTTGAGCACTAATTTGACATATCGCACCTTCAGAGAGGAACAGAGGCTGGTGCAATTCTTGATGGCCCTTAGGGATACTTGATGTATTTGAGAGTAACAAGGGATACAAACTAAGTGTAGAGCCCCTTATATATATAGCCAATGAAAGTTACAATAAGGATAAGAAGGTAAAAAGAGAAAATTTAATAAACTCTAATAAACTAGGCAGCTACTATATCTCCAACACTCCTCCTCAAGCTAGGCGCGAAAATGTCAACTAAGTCAAGCTTGACAACGGAGTCCAGAAGAATGGATAGAGTGACAGGTTTGGTGAAAACATCTGCAACCTGATCACTGGTCCCCACGAACGATGGAGTGATAATACCACTGCTAACCTTCTCTCAAAGAAAGTGAACATCGATCTCAATATGCTTTGTCCTCTCGTGCAATACAGAGTCAGAAGCGAGCTGAATAGCAGATCGATTATCACAATATAATGTAGATGAAGAAGTTATTGAAAATTCCAACTCGCCAAGAATCGTTCGTAGCCAGATAATCTCACATGTGCCAAGTGTCAGTGCCTGATACTCTGCCTCTNGGTTGCAAAATTTTTCACAATGTAGTAATTATTTTGTTGCTGAAGTCCACTTGAGATGAATGTGAGTGAAAAGGGATACAAACTAAGTGTAGGGCCTCGTATATATATAGCCAATAAAAGTTACAATAAGGATAAGATGGTAAAAAAAGAAAACTTAAATAAGCCCTAATAAACTAGGCTGCTGCTATATCTCTAACACTCCTCCTCAAGCTAGGCGCAAAAATGTCTACAAAGCCAAACTTGACAACGGAGTCCCGACGAATGGATTGAGTGACAGGTTTGGTGAAAACATCTGCAACCTGATCATTGGTCCCCACGAACGATGGAATGACAATACCACTGCTAACCTTCTCTCGAATAAAGTGAACATCGATCTCTATATACTTTGTCCTTTCGTGTAATACAGAGTCAGAAGCGAGTTGAATAGCAGATCGATTATCACAATATAATGTAAATGAAGAAGTTACTAAAAATCCTAACTCGCCAAGAATCGATTGTAGTCAGATAATCTCACATGTGCCAAGTGCCAGTGCCCGATACTCTGCCTCTGCTGACGAGCGAAAGACAACTGACTGCTTCTTGCTCTTCCAAGAGATAAGATGAGTCCCTCGAAAAGCACAGAAGCCCGTAGTAGATCGACCATCACATGCTCCCCCATAATCTGAATCTGAATAACATGCTAAAGAACCAGTCTGAGATCCTGATGCATAGAGCAACCCAAGTCCAGGACAAGACTTGAGGTATCGAAGAATATGATAAACTGCATCAAGATGAAACTGACACAACCTGTGCATGAACTGACTAACTCGGCTGACAACAAATGAAATGTCTGNTGAGGTATCGAAGAATATGATAAACTGCATCAAGATGAGGCTGACACGGCCTGTGCGTGAACTGACTAACTCGGCTGACAACAAATGAAATGTCTGGCCTAGTGTTAGCTAGGTAGATAAGTCTAACTACCAACCTCTGATAGACAGTCGGATCTCTCAACTCCTCACCTTCAGCAGTCAGCTTCAGGTTTGGAATCATGGGTGATGATGCCTGTTTGCACCTTAGCATCCCAGTATCTGAAAGAAGATCCAAAACATACTTTCTCTGAGAAAGAAAAACACCCGTGCTGTTACGGGCAACCTCAATCCCAAGAAAGTATTATAGAAATTCAAGGTCTACCATGACCTGTGCAGTCCCAGAAATATCATCCCCAGTAATAATAATATCATCAATATATACCAAAAGGATAACACACTGTCCAAAAATATTCTGTCGAATAAAGTAGGTATGATCAGAATGACATCTGGTGAACTCCAAACGTATGACTACATCACTAAAGCGAGAGAACCAGGCTCGTGGTAACTGTTTCAGTCTATAAAGAGACTTACGTAGTCGACATACCTTTCCAGCATATTCCCCCTCACCACGAAAGCCTAGTGGTGCATCCATATAAATAATCTCGTTCAGATCATCGTGAAGAAACGCATTTTTCACATCTAACTAATGAAGAGGTTAAGAGTACTCTGTAGCCAAAGAAATAACCAATCGAACAGTAGTCAATTTTGCCACGGGGGCAAATGTAGCACCAAAATCACGACCTGGTACCTGAGTAAAGCCCTTCGCCACAAGCCTAGTCTTGTGACGATCAATAGTACCATCCGCAAGAAATTTCAGGGTGTAAACCCAGCGACAGCTAACAGGCTTCACCCCTGAAGGTAAAGAGACAAGATCCCACGTATGATTACGCTGAAGAGCATCCATCTCCTTCTGCATGGCAAGAATCCACTGGGGCTCCCGCATATANCCTTCTGCATGGCAAGAATCCACTGGGGCTCCCGCATATAGCCTTTGAAACAGAGCGAGGAACTGGTGTATCTGATAAGGCCATACTATAAGCTCGAAATGTAGGAGACAAATCACCATNCCAACAACCCAGTATCTGAAAGAAGATCCAGAACATACTTTCTCTGAGAAAGAACAACACCCATGCTGCTACGGGCAACCTCAATCCCAAGAAAGTATCGCAGAAATCCAAGGTCCTTCACATTGAAAATCTTCCCAAGGTCTACCTTGACCTGCGCAGTTTCAGAAATATCATCTCCAGTAATAATAATATTATCAACATATACCAAAAGGATAACACACTGTCCAAAAGTATTCCGCCGAATAAAGTAGGTATGATCAGAATGATATCTGGTGAACTCCAAACGTACGACTACATCACTAAAGCGAGAGAACCAGGCTCATGGTGATTGTTTCAGTCCATAAAGAGACTTACGCAGTCGACATACCTTTCCAGCATACTCCCCCTCACCACGAAAGTTTGGTGGTGCATCCATATAAATAATCTCGTCCAGATCACTGTGAAGAAACACATTCTTTACATCTAACTGATGAAGAGGCCAAGAGTACTCTGCAGCCAAAGAAATAACCAATCGAACAATAGTTAATTTTGCCACGGGGGCAAATGTAGCACCAAAATCACAACCTGGTACCTGAGTAAAGCCCTTCGCCATAAGTCTAGCCTTGTGATGATCAATAGTACCATCTGCAAAAAACTTCAGGGTGTAAACCCAGCGACAGCCAATAGGCTTCACCCCTGAAGGTAAAGAGACAAGATCCCATGTATGATTACGCTGAAGAGCGTCTATCTCCGTCTGCATGACAAGAACCCACTGGGACTTCCGCATAGCCTCCGAAACAGAGCGAGGAATCGACGTATTTGATAAGACCATACTATAAGCTCGAAATGTAGGAGACAAATCACCATAAGAAACATAAGTAGAGATCGGATATAAAATCCTAGCGGTCCAACCATAACGATCAACTGGACAACAATCACGCCGTGGATAACGACGCTTTAAATCATCATCCTCC